CTTTTTGCATTTCGCCAGAGACTTCGGGAGAGGGGGGGTCCCACACTGTAGAAAATTGTTTTCATAAACATTTGTGTCCTAATTTCGTCTTGTTTGTAGCGATTACGACCGCTGGATGCGATTGTTTGCCTTTCTTTGTTACGTTTCTCGTTTGCCTGTTTGCGTTCATAGACGCAGGAACCTGTTATCTTCCATCTAGGAAAGTGATCTTTTTCAAGCTTTTAAGAAGTTTTATTTTGCATCAGATCCGCTTGGGTCAGTCTGGGTCACCCTCCGATGTCTGGCTCTATTGTGTCCTCTATTGTGTCCTCTATTGTGTCCTCTATTGTGTCGTCTATTGTGCCTCTGGCTGTATTGTGTCCTCTATTGTGTCCTCTATTGTGTCGTCTATTGTGCCTCTGGCTGTATTGTGTCCTCTATTGTGTTGTCTATTGTGTCCTCTATTGTGTCCTCTATTGTGTTGTCTATTGTGTCCTCTATTGTGTCCTCTATTGTGTCCTCTATTGTGTCGTCTATTGTGCCTCTGGCTGTATTGTGTCCTCTATTGTGTCCTCTATTGTGTTGTCTATTGTGTCCTCTATTGTGTTGTCTATTGTGTCCTCTATTGTGTTGTCTATTGTGTCCTCTATTGTGTCCTCTATTGTGTCCTCTATTGTGTTGTCTATTGTGTCCTCTATTGTGTCCTCTATTGTGTCGTCTATTGTGTCGTCTATTGTGTCCTCTATTGTGTCCTCTATTGTGTCCTCTATTGTGTCCTCTATTGTGTTGTCTATTGTGTTGTCTATTGTGTCCTCTATTGTGTCCTCTATTGTGTCCTCTATTGTGCCTCTGGCTCTATTGTGTCCTCTATTGTGTCCTCTATTGTGTCCTCTATTGTGTTGTCTATTGTGTCGTCTATTGTGTTGTCTATTGTGTCCTCTATTGTGTTGTCTATTGTGTCCTCTATTGTGTCCTCTATTGAGCCTCTGGCTCTATTGTGTCCTCTATTGAGCCTCTGGCTCTATTGTGTCCTCTATTGAGCCTCTGGCTCTATTGTGTCCTTCATCAGTCGGTCAGGTGAAGTCACAGTGAGAGGTTGTGTTAACCGGAGCTCCTGAGTGTTGTTATAGCAATATGGAAGTTGTAGTGAAGGACCTGGTGACTCTAGTGGGAGCCCTGAGGACAGAGTTGGACTCTCTGCGGGAGGAGGTGCGTCAGCTTAAAAAACAACGAGAAGTAACGAAGGAGGAGACCAGCAGTAAAGGGACCTCGTCCTGGAGAGTTGCGAAAGACAGGGGCCTTAAGAAGACTTTGATAAAGCCGCCTTCAAACGCCATAGCAACTTCAAATTCATTTGACGTTTTGGAGGACGAGTGCTGTGGAGAGACTGTGGATCGCGCAAAAGGGAAAGCAACGAAGAGAAAGGAAGCGCAGGCCCCTCAGAAAGTAAAGGAAGTACCTAAGCAAACATTAGTTGTGGGAGATTCCCAGATAAGGTATTTGGATAGAACGTTTTGTGCTAGAGATAGGGGGAACAGGTTAAGGGTTTGCTATCCCGGAGCTGGCATTGGCGATATTATAAACAACATGAATGATATTATGGCTGGTAATGGGAACAATCCCATTATTTGCATTAGCGTGGGAGGAAATGATGTTGGTCGAGTCAGGAGTGAGGAACTGATTCAGAGGTATAAAACAGCCATAGAGTTGGTTAGGAGCAAGGGAGGAGTCCCGATCATATGTGGCATTCTTCCAAGAAAGGGAGTGGGAAATGAATGGATATCGAGGGCACTTGGTGTCAATTGCCGGCTGGAAAGATATTGCAAATCAAATGCAATATCTTTCATAGACAACTGGGAACACTTCTATGGAAGAAATGAAATGTATGCTCGTGATGGGGTGCATCTATCGAGAGCTGGGGTTGTTGCTGTTGCGAACTCGCTAGAAGAAGTGGTTAGAGGTATTTGTTTGGGTTTAAACTGTTAGTAGATAGAGGTATGGGAATTGATTTGGAGGAAGGAGGTAATAAAAGTATGTGTTTGTGGGAGAAAGGAATTGGCAAAACGATCAGGGAAAGAGAAGGTCCGCAAAATAACAATTCACTTAGGGTATATTACACTAACAGTAGAAGTCTAAGAAATAAAATTAACGAATTAAATGCTCTTGTCTGCACAGAAAAAATAGATATTATTGCACTTACCGAAACGTGGATGAATGTAGAAAATAGAGAACTATTAGCTGAATATCAAATATATGGATTTAAACTATTTCACACAGATAGATATATTAGACGAGGAGGTGGAGTAGCCATATATGTTAGGGACAATTTGAAATGTAGTCTCAAAGAGGGAATCAAAACAGAGCCACACACAGAAACTATTTGGATTGAATTAAACGAAAAAGCTAATAATATTATAATAGGAGTAATATATAGGCCACCAAATTTAGACAGAATGGAAGCAAAGCATCTATGGGATGAAATATCTAGAGCATCTAGATCTAACAGTATTTATGTCATGGGTGACTTTAATTTTAGCGGAATAAACTGGTTGAACAAAACAGGGAATAGTGAAGCAGAAGATTTTCTAGAATTAATTGACGATTGCTTTCTTACGCAACACATTAAGGAACCAACACGGGAAAATAATATTTTAGATTTAGTGTTAACTAACAGGGAAACGCAAATTAATGACATCGAAATAGGGAGTGAGCTAGGGAGCAGTGATCACAAAGAAATCAGATTTAGCATAGAATGGAATAGACCAGTAGGAGAAAATTCTGTTAAAGTGCCAGATTTTCGAAAAGCTGATTTTAATAGCCTAAGAAATTTTTTGGGTCAAATTGATTGGAATGGCTTGGGTATGGGGTGTGGGCCGGTCTTGGAGCGAGACATGAACCCAGCGATAGGTGACTTAAATGGGGATTTCGATGTGGATTCAATATATAACTTATTTAAGAATATTCTAAACAAAGCACAGGAACGTAGTATACCATACAAATTGAATAGATCGTATACTAATGACCCAAAGTGGATAACAAAGAATTTGAAGAACCTTATAGGTAAAAAGAGAGCTTGGTACAAAAGGATTAAAAATGGGGAGGTCACTTTAGAACAGGAATTCGTACAACTGGTTAGAAATGTTAAAAAAGAGATAAGGAAAGCAAAAAGAAACTATGAAGTTCGCATAGCAGGGCAAGCAAAGACAAATCCTAAAGGGTTTTTTCAGTTATATCGTACTAAGACTAGGGAAAGGATAGGTCCATTAAAAACTGAGACAGGTCAAATAACAGATAGTGATGAAGAGATGAGTAGTATTTTTAATAAATATTTTGTATCTGTATTTACTAAAGAGGAACTTAACAATATGCCTTCAGCCGAACAAGTCTATGTGGGTGGGGACGAGGACAGGTTGACGAGTTTAGCAGTTACCAGGGAGGATGTTCTTAAACAAATAGTAAAACTCAAACCAAACAAATCCCCAGGGCCGGATGAAGTGTTTGCTAGGGTGCTTAAAGAATGCAAAGAGGAGCTTTGTGACCCACTGTCAACCATATTTAATAAATCAATAGAGTCAGGCAGAGTGCCAGAGTTTTGGAAAGTTGCTAATGTGATACCAGTTTTAAGAAAGGAGATAGATCACTTGCGTCTAACTATCGACCAATTAGCCTAACGTCTATTGTGGGAAAGTTACTCGAATCTATAATAGCAAATAAAATTCGTCTTCATCTTGAAAAACATAAATTAATAATTGAGTCGCAACATGGTTTTATAAATGGCCGTTCATGTTTAACAAATTTGTTATCTTTTTATTCTAGCATTGTTGAGGCAGTTGATAGTGGTAAGGATTGCGATGTTGTATACCTTGACTTTAGCAAAGCTTTTGATACAGTGCCACATGAAAGACTGATTAAAAAAAATAGAGTCTCATGGTATTGGGGGTGCTATATTAAGCTGGATTAGGGCATGGCTATACCAAAGGAAACAGAGAGTTAGTATAAATGGAATCAAGTCAGAGTGGGAAAATGTTGTAAGTGGAGTGCCTCAAGGCTCTGTCCTGGGACCTCTGTTGTTTATAATATATATAAATGATTTAGATTCAGGTTTGAGTAGCAACATTTGCAAATTTGCCGATGATACGAAAATCGGTAGGGAAATTAATTCGGAGGAGGACTCACTATCACTTCAAGTTGATCTAGATAGGGTTTTGAAATGGTCAAAGGATTGGCAGATGCAGTTTAATGCTGATAAATGTAAAGTTCTGAGGTTAGGTAATGATGATAGAGTTACAAGATACGAGCTAGATGGTGTTGTGATTGCGAAGTCGGATTGCGAAAGGGATCTGGGAGTTATGATTAGTAAGAATTTAAAACAAAAGGATCAATGCATAAATGTTCGTAATAAGGCAAATCGGACACTTGGATTTATTAATCGCAGCGTTAGTAACAAGACACCTGGTGTGGTTCTCAAGCTATATCTTGCTCTAGTTAGGCCCCATTTAGATTATGCAGTTCAGTTTTGGTCGCCATATTATAGAATGGATATAAATTCACTTGAACGTGTCCAGCGTAGGATGACTAAGTTAATTCCCCAAATTAGAAATCTTTCATATGAAGAAAGATTAACAAAGCTTAAGTTGCATTCACTGGAAAGGCGAAGAGTTAGGGGTGACATGATAGAGGTTTACAAGTGGATGAATGGACATAACCGGGGGGATATTAATAGGGTATTAAAAGTATCAACACAGGACAGAACACGAAACAATGGATATAAATTGGATAAGTTTAGATTTAGGAAAGACTTGGGTAAATACTGGTTCAGTAACAGGGTTGTTGATTTGTGGAACCAATTGCCGCGTAACATTGTGGAGGTGGGGTCCCTCGATTGTTTCAAGCACGGGTTGGACAAGTATATGAGTGGGATTGGGTGGTTATAGAATAGGAGCTGCCTCGTATGGGCCAATAGGCCTTCTGCAGTTACCTTTGTTCTTATGTTCTTATGTTCTTATGTTGTGCCTCTGGCTCTATTGTGTCCTCTGTTGTGCCTCTGGCTCTATTGTGTCCTCTATTGTGTCCTCTATTGTGTCCTCTATTGTGTCCTCTATTGTGTCCTCTATTGTATCCTCTATTGTGTCCTCTATTGTGTCCTCTATTGTATCCTCTATTGTATCCTCTATTGTGTCCTCTATTGTGTCCTCTATTGTGTCCTCTATTGTGTCCTCTATTGTGTCCTCTATTGTGTCCTCTATTGTGTCCTCTATTGTATCCTCTATTGTATCCTCTATTGTGTCCTCTATTGTATCCTCTATTGTGTCCTCTATTGTGTCCTCTATTGTGTCCTCTATTGTGTCCTCTATTGTGTCCTCTATTGTATCCTCTATTGTGTCCTCTATTGTGTCCTCTATTGTGTCCTCTATTGTGTCCTCTATTGTATCCTCTATTGTATCCTCTATTGTGTCCTCTATTGTATCCTCTATTGTGTCCTCTATTGTGTCCTCTATTGTGTCCTCTATTGTGTCCTCTATTGTGTCCTCTATTGTGTCCTCTATTGTATCCTCTATTGTATCCTCTATTGTGTCCTCTATTGTATCCTCTATTGTGTCCTCTATTGTGTCCTCTATTGTGTCCTCTATTGTATCCTCTATTGTGTCCTCTATTGTGTCCTCTATTGTGTCCTCTATTGTATCCTCTATTGTGTCCTCTATTGTGTCCTCTATTGTATCCTCTATTGTATCCTCTATTGTGTCCTCTATTGTGTCCTCTATTGTATCCTCTATTGTGTCCTCTATTGTATCCTCTATTGTATCCTCTATTGTGTCCTCTATTGTGTCCTCTATTGTGTCCTCTATTGTGTCCTCTATTGTATCCTCTATTGTGTCCTCTATTGTATCCTCTATTGTGTCCTCTATTGTGTCCTCTATTGTGTCCTCTATTCCTCTATTGTGTCCTCTATTGTGTCCTCTATTGTGTCCTCTATTGTATCCTCTATTGTGTCCTCTATTGTGTCCTCTATTGTGTCGTCTATTGTGTCCTCTATTGTGCCTCTGGCTCTATTGTGTCCTCTATTGTGCCTCTGGCTCTATTGTGTCCTCTATTGTGTCCTCTATTGTGTCCTCTATTGTGTCCTCTATTGTGTCCTCTATTGTGTCCTCTATTGTATCCTCTATTGTGTCCTCTATTGTGTCCTCTATTGTGTCGTCTATTGTGTCCTCTATTGTGTCCTCTATTGTGCCTCTGGCTCTATTGTGTCCTCTATTGTGCCTCTGGCTCTATTGTGTCCTCTATTGTGTCCTCTATTGTGCCTAGTTGTTGTTATCATTTAACAGATAAAGATTTTTGTTTAATTATTCCAGTATATGTCACTAGTGAATCAGTGCATCCTAATTGCTGGCGTCATGGTAACTTGCGTCATAGTTCCTGCGTCATTGTTCCTGCGTCATAGTTCCTGCGTCATAGTTCCTGCGTCATAGTTCCTGCGTCATAGTTCCTGCGTCATAGTTCCTGCGTCATAGTTCCTGCGTCATATTTGCGTCATGACTGCCCGCGACATTGATTCCTTGCGTCATGAGAGAGAAAATAAGCACATTTTTCAATCAATTATATGACTACTTCCGTATTAAAAGTGACTGATTATTTCTCTTGTAACTCAGTGTCGTTGTTCGATTACTAACGATGCCACCAGAACTAACGCACTTGTCTACTGACTCTCACTTGGCCGCTATTAACGCACTTCAGTACTAACTTTGACATTGTTTACACTTGGCTAGGAACAGCTGAGATCAAGTGGCCTAAAGTGGCCGATTGGTGCATCGTTCTGTTCAACAATAACATTCAATCACCGCCAAGATTGTTATCACAATCACTGATAACGTCAAAATCACTCCTATCGCAGTTGACACGATCAATGACATTCTGGGGTCAGATTCACGAAGCATTTACGCAAAGACTTACGAACGTGTACATCTTTTCTCAATCTTTGGCGGCTTTGTTTACAATTATTAAACAGTTAATGAGCTCCGAAGCACCAGGAGGCTGTTTATAACAATAACAACAGTTGATTGGCAAGTTTTCATGCTTGTAAACTGTTTAATAAATGTAATCAAACCCGTCAAAGATTGAGGAAAGATGTACACGTTCGTAAGTGCTTGCGTAACTGCTTCGTGAAACTGGCCCCAGGTTCGTAAGTACTTGCGTTACTGCTTCGTGAATCTGGCCCCAGGTGTCTCAGTCATCACCATCACTGCACACACCATCACAGTACTCCTCACCATCATTACCAGCGACACTATCTCTCTCTTCATTTGGCATTACCCTGAACGGTGAAAGGTCGTTTGAAGGCCCTAAGGTTTAACATACATTAGTTCAGGCATCAATGGTTCATATACTATCAGAATTTGTTAACACAACCTCTCCTCCTACAAAGAACGTCACTTTTCGCACGTATGCGTTACATAAGCCCCCCCCCCCCCCAAAAAAAAAATAATTGTCGTGCGTGATAATGGAAGCGGCTGGCGAAAGTGACATATTGTCCCGTTTTCTGTTTTGGGTCCTCTGGTGGGTTAGGAGAGACTACTTTAAACTGACCGTTTTCTGGACGTTGCGGAAAACCTTATTAGGACGGGCAGCTCTGTTAGTCCTGCGGGACTCTGACGACCGTTTATGCAGAGAAAACGGTCATTAATTGCTGTAATCAGACTCGTAATTGTTGGGAAATTGAATATATTAAATAATGTTCTGCTTTTGATGGTAATTTTATTTAGGGATAAGTACATACGGAACCCCGGACGTAGGTTCGAACCCTCGTCACGCCCTTTGTGGATTTGTACATACATACACAATGCACATACACAAAAATATACATACACAGGTAGAATGTTGAATTTCTACATAAAGCCATTATAATATATATTATGCCTAAAGGCACAATTTGGCACAGCGTTTCTAGCAGTTCTAATTTTTTTAATGTGTGTTAACAAGGCTCTATATTGAAAAGATCAACAGAGCAACTCTTACGCAGAATTAAAGAGCCGTAAGTGATGTTCTCTCTACACTCACCTTCTAACTATTAATACCAAAAACACAAATCTAAAAATTATTTAATTTTTCGATAAACAGTGTTGAATAGAACAACAATTTTATTCCTAGAATTTGTGCTTTTGAGAATTCAATGCAAAAGATATTTTAGTCCTATTTGGAAAAAAAATCAGGATAAGAGTCATCTATCACTGTCACTACAATGGCACTCCCCGCAATGCCACTTAGTGCCATCTTAGCGTACGGGCACATTTGGCAGTTTCCCAAGGGCCCCACGATTCTAGGGGGCCCTTATGCTGCCCAATTGTTCACGAAAAGATCTCTTAGTGGAATGGATACTTATTTGACCTCCCTCTGGAAAGGTCTGGGATTCAATTCCCGTTTCATATTATATATATAATATAATATACGTAACTGTTTGAGGGAATTAAACCTATGCTTTAGCGGACTGGAGGGCCCTATCATCTGGGTAGGGTCCCAGTGCACATCATCTAGGTAGAGAGCCCCTGGTGCATTACCTTGCGCAGGGCCAACAATGGTATTAATATTACCCTCGCACCATTGGAATGGAGCAGGACATCAGTGTAAATATGCAGGCGATGAGTCAAAATAACGTGGCTGAAGTATGTTGACCAATCCACACACTAGAAAATGAAGGGACGACGACGTTTCGGTCCGTCCTGGACGAAACGTCGTCGTCCCTTCATTTTCTAGTGTTTTGATTGGTCAACATCAGTGTAAATAGTTTGGGAAAGAACGGGTTGATCTAAGTTTCATATTGAAATTGAAATTGAAATTGAAATAAGTTTATTGAGGTAAAATACACACAAAGGGATGAGGTAGCTCAAGCTATTCTCACCCCGTTCACTACATCATGTTTGTCTACCCTTCCATTTCTGCTATAGTGTTCCATTTTCTGTCACAGAGGTCTGTAGTAACAATATGATAGAAAACGAACGTTTTGGAAAATATTATGCATGACTAAACTATTTATTAAGATAATTTACCTGTTGGCTACCATCACACCAGTGACTTTGACGGGGTAGAAAATCGGTGGCTCTCAGGTAAATTTAGGTAAATATTCTCCAATTTGTTCATTATTTCCAGTTCCTTTAAAAACCCACCCTGTCACGCCAGGTTTGCAGTGTCGTTAGTCATGGGCTAACGACTTCATTGGGACTTAGTTCTGGGATGATTTTTATTGCTCTGTGTTGCACTTTCTCCAGAGAAAATATGTCCTTCTGAAGAATGGATCTCCATGCTTGGATACAGTAATCTAAATGGGAGCACACCAGAGATTTGTACAGTTATAATTTTATAATTATATAAATTATTACCGTTGAATAACATTCTTGTACATGAATGTAAGAACTCTTTTATATAAATAAATAAATAAAATAACTACTCCACTTTTTTATTGCAGCACCCTCTTGTACAGCTTTCAATAACTGTTCTTTTCAGTTAGTGCAACTGTTCTGTTCTTTTTTTTCTCTAACTGTACTTTTCCCTGAATAAAGAATTTAATTTAATTTACCTGTTGGATTCTGACTCCTTGTGCTTTCTCTTTTTCAATCTGTTTCATGGTAGTGTTGTTGATTTGATAATTGCGATGTGTATTGTTAAATATAATTCACTGTGTCGGCTTTTATCGCATTGGCTTTTATCGAGGATATACAAGAATGTATTCCCAGTTTGCTAACTGTAGGTAGTAACTAAGTGACTGTAATCTATCCACCGCTGCTCACTGGATGGGGGGCGGTGTAACCTATCCACTGCTGCCCACTGGATAGGGGGCGGTGTAACCTATCCACCGCTGCCCACAGGATGGGGGGCGGTGTGCAGAACAAACATATCAATTGTGACACTAGCTATCCACATATGTCAGTTGCTTAATTTAGAAACTGTACCTGTGGTCGATCTCGAACCCATTTATGATGCGACGACTTATAATGGATTTTGTAACTAGCTCATCAAGATTGTAAGTTGCTTAGCTAAATGAATTGAGGTTCAGTCCCTGAGCCCATTATGTGTCTCTGTAACCCTTTCCACTATCGCCCACAAGATGGGTAAGGGATGCATAATAAATGAACTAAACTAACTTTAAGAACTCTTGCATATATAAATAAAAAATAAATAAAATTATATTATAAATATGAAACCAAACATCTATTTGAGTTACCCACAAGAATTTGACATTAAAGAAAACAGTTGTGTTGGAGCATATCTAAGAAAACGGACATGCTATGAATCGCTTACCAGCCGAAACTGTAACTAAATGCCTATAAACATTGCTGCATTACAATATCCAGCTCAGAAATCTTCAGGACAATTGATATTACCCTAGATCAAGTCGCTGGCTTCCTGTCCTCATCGAGGCCACAGGTAAATTCAGGTAAATTACCTTAGGCAGTCTCCATGGTTCAAGTTCAAGTTCAAGTATGTTTATTGAGATAAGCAATAAATACATCTCAAAGGGATAGAGTAGCTTAGGCTATTTCTACCCCCCTCTACTTCAAGTCCCTCAAGGGGCGCACAAATTCAGTGAGTACAAATAGACATATAACAGTACAAAAATCCCATTTAACATTGCATACAGCAAGTACAGCATATAATTGTTACATTCTTGGGGCAAAATTCTTGTAGCTCCTAAGTATACTGTCTATTATACCATTATCACACATCCAAACAATTTGATGTGGTACACTATTTATTTCCTTTATATACCCCATGGTCTAGTTGGAAAGACACTCGCCTGGCGTTTCACGAGCGCTTTGTCCTGGGTTCGAATCCTGGCCGGGGAGGATTTAATGGGTGTCAATTGTTAACTGTAGCCTCTGTTTACCCAAAAGTAAACTGCTCTCGTCTCACTATACTATGCACTAATCTATCCCTACCTTACATATGGTATCTGTGCATGGGGCTCATCCTCTGCAAATTACCTCAAGCAGAACATAACATCAGTTATCATAAGTTATCAGAATAATAACAAACTCGGCTTTCAGACAGCACTCAGCCCCCTTTGTTTAAATCCCTAAACATGCTAAACATAACCTCACTCCACACATTCTCTTGTGCCAAGTACATTTACAAAACCCTGGTTTTAAGTGCAAACCCTGTTCTGAAACTCTTCCTGGACAGATGTAATAGAACACATAATCACCACACCAGAAATAAATATCTCTTTGATATTCCCAGAGTCAAACTTAATCTGTGTAAACACTCTATGCAAATAAAGGAACCTTGTCTATGAAATTCACTCCTTAACGAATTGAAAAGCTGTCAAACTTTTGCCCCATTCAAAAATAAAAACAAAAAGTATCTAATTTTACCTTCATAGTTTCCTATCTAGTGCTTGAAACTCGCACTGTATCAAGTGCTACCCAAGTCCCCAATATATGTACCTATGCCATACAACTTCACCATTGTAATCATTGTTGTTATCTTATATCTTGTTATACACACAGTTTGCTACATAATATCCTGCAATAATCCTCAAATTATGCTAAAATGTACCTGTGGACAACCCTTAAAGTTACTTTAATGTACATACTTTTTTTTTCAAATTTCTTATACAATGTATTTTTGTATACTCTCTTACAATGTATTTTTTTTATTCTTTCTTACAATGTGTTTTTGTACTTTCTTTCAGTGTATTTTTATACTTTCGTACAACGTACCTGTAAACATTTTTTTTAATTTTGCTAGAAATTAACTTCTTAAAATTATATGTTTGATTAAGGATCTGCCCGAAAAGCTATGCGTGCTAGTGGCTTTACAAGAATTTAAAACTTCAAATTTCTGTACTCTCATTAACCCAATGTACCTTCTTGTATATAAATAAATAAATAAATAAATAAATAAGTAAAACAGGTACTGTTAAAAGATTTGGCGGGTCGTATTCCGGGGAACATAGGATTAAGGACTTTCCCGAAACGCTATGCGTGTTAGTGGCTGTACAAGAATGTAAGAACTCTTATATATATGAAAAAAATAAACATAAATATATAAAATTTACCAATCTTTCAAGTTTTGTTAAAATCCTGATACTCGGCTCGCGAGTCAAAAACGATGCGGATTCGCGCCAAAATAGAATCAGCTGATGGAGGAACGTTTGTTGTTCCCGCGAAATTTTAGTAAACAGAAGGTGTTCTCTCCTACTAGCCAGCTGGTGCTCCAGAGACCTTGGTAAACTAGGAGAGTTCTCTCTGCAACACTAGGTAGCTTTATTGTGTTGCGAGGAACGGAAGAACTAGGATTATTTTGATGCCAGGAGGCAATACGAGAAAGGTATAATGTTAATGGCTCATTCCCCGTTGTGTAATTAAAGATTTGCTGCTTGATCTTTTAATCCAGTGATATTTTATCTTTGCCTATGTTAATTATGGAGCGTTTGAGCATAAATTGAATAGGCAAGTTGTACTTCTCTCAGTTTTGCTTCAGTATTTGTAAGTGACACTTCTCCAGTTATAGTTAAATGGAAGTTGGAAGTTATGACTAGAGCGGAAGTGTTAATGAACAATACATGATTCAGTCAGTTGATTTAGCGTAACAAAAGCTGGTGCAGTATTGTGTTGTAACATTATTGGGGACAAGGAACCTCCTTTTGAGGCCACCCCTCCCCCCCTCTAGCCAAGGGAAAGGCTGTACAAGAACATCCATAAACGTACCCATAATTTTGCCCAACCATTTGGGGTGGACGGTAGAGCGACGGTCTGGCTTCATGCAGGTCGGCGTTCAATCCCCGACCGTCCACAAGTGGTTGGGGCACCATTCCTTTCCCCCCGTCCCATCCCAAATCCTTATCCTGACCCCTTCCAAGTGCTATATAGTCATAATGGCATGGCAGGTTCCCCTGATAGTTCCCTTCCCTTACCCACAATTAAATCGGGTGTCGTAGTGACATCACACACCTTACATGTGCTATATATAAAACCCAACTTTATCTATTATTTTTGTTGGGTTTGGATCGATTGCTAAGGTAGGTTGTATTTAGGTTTGCTTAAAAGAGTAGAATGATATTGCTGTGCATACCTTTTGGCAGTTCTATGACCCCCACTCAGGGTGTCTTCTCATTCATTCTATCCGATTATTGGCGAGTCCCAGTGGTGCTTAACCTCGCTGGTACACCAGAATTCCATGAGATTTTTCACGTTAATATAGATCGGCTAGTCTTGAATTCATGTGTATGTCAAACATTTAAGCCAGCAGTTGTCAAGGTACAGTTAAGGCATACACGTGTTAACATTTCTGATTGTCAAAACCTAGTACTGTATTATCATGGGGTTAGACTGTATTAGTTTAGGTTAAGCTGTTAGTTTCAGTGGGGTTAGGTTAGGTTAGGTTAGATTAGGTTAGGTTAGGTTAGGTTAGGTTAGGTTGGGTTGGGTTAGATTAGGTAAGTTTTAAAATCCATTAGTGTACCTTTTTGCATATGATGTAACTTGTATCCAAATTGTCTCTCATCGTTGGTGTTCACAACTGTCTTAGAGGGGCAGGATAAACTCCAACCCCAAAACATTCCATCCCATCCAAGAAAGACGATTTCCCCTGCTGTACCTGCTCCTAGCTGATATCTCGGCTTTAATTAAGCTTCCATAGCTTAGCTTTGTATGAACAAGTCCATGTGAGGACAAAACCCATTCAACACTGGAAGAGGAAGTTACTGCTGAGGGAAATTTTTTTTTTTCAGAACGTATATCACTGTTTTTAGCATTTGAGGAAGTGTGTATGTATGTGTCACAGTGTGACATACTGTGTCACAGTGTGACATACTGTGTCACAGTGTGACATACTGTGTCACAGCTTCAGTGAGTTTAAATACCTGGAAAGGTGGCACTTTTGCTTGGAGCTTCGTTATGATGGGAAATGTTTCTGCTAGGCATTTTGGAATGATTTTGTTGGGTGAATAGTAACCCTTAATATGGCTCCAATCATGTTTTTATTGTACAAATCCACAAGGGCCATGCCGAGGATTCGAAGCTGCGTCCGAGAGCATCCCAGACACTGCCTTAATTGAAAAATGTGTTCATTGATGCATCACACTATTGTAATTTCTGTGTGTAATGTTTTTATTGTTTTTCATAGATGGGCACAACATTACAAGAAATAATTAAGAGCAGTGAGACATATATTGGCAAAGACGTAGAATAAAATTAGAATGATTTGGTTGGCTTTATATATTTAAAAATTTTAATAATAAAATTATTGTAGCTAAACTGGGTAATGTTTATCTAAAATTTCACTCTACAGGTTACAAAATCAGTTAGAATAAATTAACATTGAAGCTTCACACCAACCATGGAGCTGAACGTGGAAGAGTTGTTTGGGCAGCGTGAAGCAGAAAGTGACCGAGACTCTGACTCGGGAGCTGAAGATGGTGAAGAAAGTGACGATGGGGGTCGTAATAATCCAATGGAGGAAGCTGTCGAGGTTCCCGAACCTGGTAGGCAACTTGTCGCTATTAACAACATTATGTGGCTCAGTTGATTCCAAGTCCTACCTTTTGGTGTGCATGACAAAAATTGTTTACAAAACTAATGTAAAACAAAATCACAGTTGGCATTTTGAGAACAGGAGGTAATTGCAGATAGCGATTAGAGTTATTTAAGGGTTAATGTAGCAATTTGATATGTCCTGGATGCATCTTCTACTTTCCTCTTCATAGAAATAACTGAGCATATGTTTCTAGAGTTAACTCTCACACAAAATCGGTATAGATGCTGCCTTTTTATTTTCCATACCAAGCCAGCAGCTAACTGTTGACTGTTGATCTAGGTTTACCTCCCATTGCAAACTGTTGACTGTGGGTTTAGTTTTACTTCCCAGTGCATGCTTTTGACAGTAGGTCTGGTTTACCTTCCAGTGCATGGTGCTGACTTTAAGGGAGGTTTACCGCCTTATGCTACAGTGGAATTTCATCCAACTGGGATGGGTTTAGCGGGCCAAGGATAGTCAGTTTTGTTTTTTCTCGGCACCCTCTTTATGAACAAATTCACAAGGGCCTTGATGAGGGTTCGAACCTATGTGCTGGATGTTGCCAGATGCTCTCCAGTCAACTGTACCACGATGTGCAGATATTTGCTCGACCCTCTTTATGTATTCCAAACCTACCTTTTGAATTAAGGGAAATAAAAGTGTCTCTCACTTTGAAGTTTTAATTAGCTATATTCATAATTCAACTCTCGGCCTTTGTCTGCTATCCTGTTCCCTTACTTATATATCTGATAATTTTGATCTTGTTTAAAATGTTAAAAAGCAATCCTGCATGCATTTTAGCTAATGCATAATTGATTCTCAGTCTTAACCCTCTGGTTGCATATTTTGATTTGGCAGTTCATCCATGAGAGATATAATTTTGGGGCCTGTGAACTTTGCGTGAAGTGGTCCCAATAGTAGTTTCCCCAAGTTAAAGCACTGGTATAGCCAAACTTGAGGACATCACATGCAGACGATAAGTCACGATAACGTGGCTGATGATATGTTGACCAAACCACATACACATACTACTTGATAATGATCCTGGACGGATTGAAACATTGTCGTTTCTTCATCTTAAGGTGTGTGGTTTTGTCATCATATCTTCAGCTACATTATTGTGATTCATCGTCTGCGTAATTGCAATGTTTACATATGACTGTATCATTTATGTTTGTAATTAATGGCGAGTGCTGGCTGGTTTTGATTTTGATGTTGATCACTGGCAGCCCATTATCTTGGTCGCTTCAGAGCAATCATTGGGCCAATGATGCCCAAGCTCAGATGTGTAATTAAAATTTTTGCTCTTAACGGCCTTTAGGCTAATTTAATGCACTTGTTTTCATCATAATAACATGTATCTCTTCCCATCCATGAGACGGTTATCTTGAGGTTATCTTGATGATTTTGGGGCTTTTTAGTGTCCCTGTGGCCCGGTCCTCGGCCAGGCCTCCACCCCCAGGAAGCAGCCCGTGACAGGTGACTAACACCCAGGTACCTATTTTACTGCTAGGTAACAGGGGCATAGGGTGAAAGAAACTCTGCCCATTGTTTCTCGCTGGCGCTCGGGATCGAACCCGGGACCACAGGGGTCACAAGTCCAGCGTGCTGTCTGCTCGACCGACTGACCGGGACAAGGAGGCATTTGCCATAATCGTTGGCATATTAGTCGCACCTTCACTAAAGACGTACCTTTATATTGCAAGGATATTTCGTGCAAGCTTTTTCTTTTAATGTTTCATCGTACATTAATTGAAAGGGATTTTAAGGTGCAGTTACCCTATTCCAATATTTTTTGTAAGCTTTGACGTCGAGCTTAAACATAATCTTATAACAATGTATTGTACTGCCAGCAAATGTGTTTTTGGTTGAGAGAAGTTACTGAAGATGGAAGCCCAACTTAATCTCCTACCTCTTTATAGTTGACATCTTCTTTTGAAAATTATTTAACTTTATTGTAGGTCAGGAGACGGCTACCCAGCAGCAGCCTATTAAGCCTAAGAAAGTGGTGAAGAATCCTCAGCCAAAACTTGATATTCACCGGTTAGTGTCTGTGATATGCTTTTCCTGTTTCTGCATTTCTGCTTGTGTGTTATGTTTGAGGGATACAGTATAATTATTGTACCATCAATTTTTGTATTTTTAGACCTCTCAAGGGGGATACAGTATTGGGATTTTTAGGCATCTTTCTGGGGTATGCAATACTGTACTGTACTCTTGTATGGTTTTGTACCCTGTTTCTGAGCTATGCCACTTGGATGCTGCAGTGAACAGGTTCAGGATCTATCTTGAGGTTATCTTGAGATGATTTCGGGGTGTAGCATCCCCGCAGCCCGGTCCTCAACCAGGCCTCCTTTTTGTTACACATCCCCAGGAAGCAGCCTGTAGCAGCTGTCTAACTCCCAGGTACCTTTTTACTGCTAGGTGAACAGAGGCATCAGGGTGAAAGAAACTCTGCCCATTTGTTACCACCTTCACCGGGGATCGAACCCGGAAACTTAGGACTACGAATCCCGAGCGCTGTCCATTCAACTGTCAGGCCCCATAAATGATGCTTATCTCTAGTGACTACAGGGTCGACTACAGGGTCTTCTCACAAGTCGAGCCTGGCCTCGGGCCGGGCTTGGGGAGTAGAAGAACTCCCAGAACCCCATCAACCAGGTATCAACCAGATATCAGGGGAGTGAGGTGGTGCCCTGCCTACTAGCCGTTTATACGTGGTGCTCTAATTACCCCCACTGACATGACAAAAGAGATGACATAATTTAAATGATAAGTGCTCATAGGCCATTGCTCCCTGCGCCTCTCAGAGGGGAACCAGATTCTGGCTCGTGGTTCCCGGTAAGCAAAGGACTCCTCTGACTGATGACCTCTAACTAATACAGCACTATATCAGTTTAGATAGATTCAGGAAGCCTCCAGGGCTCACCCAGAAAATGGTGTTTCATTACATTCAAATTTTTTTTTTTTTGTACTTAAGTTTAATTTTTTTTTTTAATGGAAGGCAGCATTTTTATAACTACTTTTTCTGTGTAATTTCAGGTTGGCTGGTCCAAGAGGAATTGGAATTATCCAAAAATCTTTTAAAAACGTGAAGTTCCGTGGAAAAGGTCACGAAAAAGAAGATATTGATGTTCTCTTGAAGATTCTTGAGCATTGGGCACATCGTCTCTTCCCGAAGCTTCCATTTAGAGACACTTTAGAGCAAATAGAAAAATTAGGGATGAAGAAAAATGTCCAGGTAAATGGAAGACAGTACAGTAGTTAAATTTGTTTGAAATAAGTTGGTGGCATTGTAAAACGTAATATAGACTTGAATACAGTAGACAGTTATACCTGAAGTATACCTGGAGAGGGTATTGGAAGTTCTTTTACTCCCCGAGCCTAGCCTGGGGCCAGGCTCGACTTGTGACAACTTGGTGCAACAGGCTTGGAGTGGCCTGCGGGCCCACATTTCCACTACAACCCAGATGGTCCAGTACTACTCTACAAGAAATTACCAAATGCTTCTTGCACCTTTGTTCTATCAATATTTCTAATGCTTGCTGGGAGGATATTGAACAGCCTTGGACCTCTGATTGTTTAGGCAATGCTCTCTGATTGTGCCTATTGCACCTCTGCTCTTCACTAGTTCTACTCTGTATTTCTTTCCATATCTTTCGCTCTAGTATGTTGGCATTCTACTGTGCAAATTTGAGATTTGGCCTTCCAGTATCTTCCATATATATATTATTTGACACCTCATCTATCCAGAGAGTACATTTTGAGAGCTTTAAGATGGTCCCAATAATTTAGGTGTTTTATCGTGTCGATACACGCCATATATGTTTTCTGTATTCTCTCTTATTTCAGAAATCTTTCCTGCTCTGAAAGGGAAAGTAAGTTCACTACTGAGCAATACATGAGACGGGGCAGCACCAGTGATTTATGAAGTATTAGCATTGCTCTGGGATTCCTAGATTTTAACGTTCTCATAATTCATCCAATCATTTTCCAGGCTGCTGCTATATTTGCTCGGTTATGTTCACTAAATGTCAGGTTGTCAAACATCGTAATTCCCAAATTATTCACATAGTGTTTTCCTTCTATGAATAAGTCTGATTGTGTCCTGTACCCTGTATTTCATTTAAGTTCCTCGTTTCTACCATACCTAAGTACTTGGAGCTTATCACTCTTAAAATCATGTTACTGTATTTGCTGTTGCCCAATGCACGACTTTATTAATATCTGCTTGTAGTTTTTCAGTGTCTTCTACAGAGGACACTGTCTTCTACAGTGTCTTCATCATCTGTAGAAAATGCTGAAAAACTACAAGCCACTATTATACTATAGAATATTTAGTAAATTGAGATCATTTTGTTTTACAAATTATTTTTTCAGGTGCTCTTAAAACGTCTTCGACTAGACATGTTTACTGAAAGTGAGCTCAATGGTGTGAGTGAAGAGACAGTAAGGCGAGGCATAGATGATGAAGAGGAGCAGCAAGAAGAACCAACAATTGATGTATTCGATGAGTTGTTGGGTAATAATGGCTTCTCTGCACCTTCCCAAACTGTTCTTCCACCATCAGAATCTATCAGTCATATACCAAGTGAACTTAACAAGGTACATTTTGTTGTTTATTTTCTTCAGAGAATGTCCAAACAGTTCTTTCAGCTGAATCAATTAGTCAAAGACCAAGTCAACTTAATGAGATATATTTAGTCATCCATTTCCTCATAAAATGATGTTATTTTTCGGGTGATACCCGCCAAACACACACCGAAACTACGACGTTGGTACAACATTCGAACAACACCTCCTAACCAGTTATAACAACCAATATAGCAAGTTGTAACAACGTTCTAATACGTCATAAACACGTTAAGCCAAGATGTAACAACTTTATTACAAGTTGTAACAAGCGGAAAATAGAGACAGTTACGGCTTGTGTTTCCAGGGTAGCAGTTGTCATGTTGGGGAGTTTTGTACTCGCCTCTGGGAGAGGGGTTTGGTCTTTTGGTTCTAGCAGGCTATTTCTGTATCTTCATTCTTTTCCTTTTCTGGGTAAGAATGGGATGGTTCCCTTCTGGAGGGATTCTTTGGTTATTGAGTATTGATTTCTTTGTCAAGGTGTGCATCATTTGACGTTTGATTGTGAGTGTTCATCACTACCTGCACGTGGTACAGGCTGTTTCAGGAGACGATGTTGTTTGTTGATACAGTCTCCTTGGAAGCCTGTTCAATGGCTCGTTTGTCTCGAGTCATCTGAAGTGTCATAAAATCTACCCAACCTGCAGTCTAACCTTGAGTCCATGATAATTGGAAGTTTACAGATTTGACTGCTGTATTTTCTAATGTCTCAGGCTCAGGAATCTTCGAGGCTTAACAGAGTCCTGGTGGCTCATTACCTCACCAGTGTCACCAATTCCTGTCGAGCTAGTGTTGCCTTGGGTAGGGTTTTCCCTACCCAAGGCAACCAGCATTGAATGTAATAAAACTCCTTTTTGGGGGAGTATCTCTGTTGCTTTCTGGACCCTCCCTTTTCCTCCCAACCAGTTGTCCTCTATTACAGGTTTCCCCTCTTACCATGTGTCCTCTCTCTCTCTCTCTTGTCTTGATATTTTAACTAGTTTGTTAAACTGGATTTACTGGACTGTATGATATGATAGCTTTGGCTTTACAAAAAAATTAAAACATTAAACATGTAGAGAATAAGTCACAGTAACATGGCCGAAACAAGTAACTCAACCCACACATCTGAAATACTCAAAATGTTCGGTAATATGTTTATTGTTTGTGATGTGTGTGTATATATACAGACGACCACGTGCTTTGCAAACCCCTTGGGTACGAGCCCAGTCGGTTACCGTGTAAATTCGTAAATGAGGAATTTTAAATCTAGGGGGAAAATCCACAGGTTCATAGCTTAAATGCAACAGTATTTTGTTTGTGCTCAGCAATAAGAGAAGTCCTGATCCACTTTTGTTGATTATTGTTGATGGAGCATAGTTATGTTACATGGAAAAGGTGGTGGTGGATGTTGGTGGTGTTGGGTTGACCGAAGTGAAGATTAATGGTGATACGGTAACCTCAGATGTTGATACATTTGGGTCAACATGTAACGAGTTGGGTGCAGGTAAGGCAATGCCAGCTTTCTTGGAAGCCTTCTCCCCTCACTGCTGCTCTCTCTCCCACCCTCACTGCCTCTCTCCCCTACCAAGAGAATCTGCTGGTAGGTGGCTAGCTCATTAGATTGCCAGCCAGAGATAGCCTGGATGGATTTAGCAGTAAATAGCCTCAGGAATTTTCATTGCTTGATGAAATTCACATGCTTTTTCCATAAGCAGCCAGCGTGCCAATGACTTCTTCGTCACCTCACGCTTCTGTTTGTACCACTCACACACTCTCCACTTTTGCTTTACTTACTACCTTTCTATTTTGTATTGCCTTTTGACTTTCACTTCTAGAGAAATAGTAAATAAAAATGATAGGTTTTGCCTTAAGAAAATAAAAAAAACAGTACTTTTGCCAATGCCATATTCAGCGCTCACAACATTTCTCGGGACTCTGCTCTCCACCTTCTTAATTATTTCAACTTTCCTCTCAAATGTCATTACTGACCTCTTTTATGTATCCCACTTGTTGATGCTTTCACTGACACAATGCGTGCATTTGGAGCTGACATGGTGCACGGATGTTACTAGATTGTGCATGTATATCCAACAAAGAATGAACACTCCAGTCTTGTGACAAATCAAAACAATGGGAGCAATGGGAGGTGAATCTGTGACATCACAGAGTAGAAGGCACTAGTGGCATCCGACAGTCAGTGGGCAAACTAGGCCATCTCCCACCCACCACCCCAGGCCGGCGTGAGGCCTGGTGGTTGCTTACACATTTTCCGAACATTTTATGAGAATTACTGTGCTGGGAGGCCTGGTTGATGACCGGGCCACGGGGACACTAAGACCCGGAAGCACCTCAAGGTAAGGTGCTTCTCGAACTTGAGTAACCAAACTAACCCCAATCGTGAAATTGGAACTTTCGGATAACTTAAGTTCGCAAAGCATGTGGCTGTCTGTATACATGAACATTTTGTATTGAACGAAGTGAGAATAGCTTGAGCTACCTCATTCCTTTCTATGTATTTATACCTCAATAAATTTATTTCAATTTCAAATCTGAAATAAAAATTAAATGAGTGGGACAACTTTTCGGCTCATCCTGGACCTCTTATGAAGTCATGGGAAGGACTTTATAAGGTTCCAGGACATTACAAAACAGCACTGCTCTCATTTAATTTCAAATGTGTATATTGGGTTATTCAACATTTCATCTGAAATCTGGCTTAATGAGTTGATTAATTTTACTGCTTAGGAGTGAAATATTTTACAATTTCAAATTTTTCAATAAAAATTTTGTTCGTGTAGTTATTAATACTGTATTAATAAAACAAATTCTTGAAAAACTCTCTTATTGATTTTCTTGCAGACTCTGACAGATGAGCAGAAAGAACGACTTGAACGCAATAAAAGGCTTGCAGAGGAGAAACGAATGGCCCGATTAAAGATACAAAATGAGGAGAAAGCCAGACGAATGGCATCAGTCGTCGAGGACCGGGAGACAGAAGTGGAGTCAGAGGATATTTTTGGTAATGTGTCTCAGATTCTGTTACTCATCATCATAAATAATCATCATAAATTATCATCATTAACACATCACGAATGATTATCATCAACAATTATCATAAATTACTAAATTTCATTGATGGGTGGGGATTTGCGAACTAAAAAGTTGGCTTCTAAAAATCTTTTTATTAATACTTGGTATACATTTATGAGTACAGTACCATTTGCTCACTGAAAAGGCTTCATTGTGTTGCACTAAATACCATTCATAAAAAGATGTCTCGCAGGAATAAATGTAAGTTTTTTTTTTTTTTTTTTTTTTTTTTTTTTTTTTTTTTTTTTTGAGAATTCACAGGAACTCGCATTAGTTTACTGTTTAATTCCACTAATGATGTGATGGAGGTACTTGGAATGAATATATATATATATATATATATATATATATATATATATATATATATATATATATATATATATATATATACACATACACACACAAATCAATGGGCCAATTTTCTTTAACCCCTGATGCTCCTGTTCACCTAGCAGTAAATAGGTACCTGGGAGTTAGACAGCTGATACAGGCTGCTTGCTTCCTTGGAATGTGTGTTAGAAATATATGTAGTAGATACAATAGGGGAAAATAGATGGTTGGAGAGGCGGGGTCCAAGAGCTAATAGCTCGATTCAGCAAACACAAAAAAAAAAAAAAGCAAATGCACACACACACATATATACATACAGTATATATATATAATTTTGGCCTTACTGACTGCACTTTCAAAATCTCTATTCTGTATGGATGCTTAAAGTACTGTATTGCATAAGATTCAAGTCTTGCAGGCATATGGGACTCGCATAGAATTTCTCGGGGCTCCGCTCCAGTAAACAGATGCCATTTTGAAAAAAAAAAATGGTGGGCAACTTTCCTGGGTGTAAAAGCCTCGGTGCCGAGTGAGTGAGTGGGAACTCACTCTGCGAGCACTCTGCTCACTCTGCAACTGCTCACTCTGTGAGCAACCAAGGCTGGCGCATGCAGCACAAGCTAATAGCACTGCTCTTTAGGCTGTGATCACAGGATCACTTCAAAATGCCGCAATATATATGTTACTGCTATTTGTAATGATAGCCTCATAAAAGAGCCTGACTGTGGTAAAGACTGTACAGTGGTCGGATATCAGTGAACATACTGCGGTTTACGAGGTTGATAGTGCTGGGCAGGCAGCCGTAGCTCTCTGCCATTGTTTGGTCATAATGTTTCGACTTGCTTAACCATCCAGCATCATAACTCTGTAATAAGTCTTATCCATCTTGAAGAAATGTTGTGGAAGCCTCCCCCCCCCCTTTTTTTTTAATTTTTGTTTTTAGAACTTAATTTTCTCAAGCAATTTAGAAAATTTTACCACAACTTGACAGAAAAATTGATCATTATATATTTATAAATACCGTACTATAGGCTTAGCATTTTTATGACCCTATTGTCCTCACACTTATACCTATACCAGCATGTATAAATTATAAATTAAACTTTCTGTTTTTTCCATTTATTTCTCCATTCCAATTCTCGTAACTTCTTTTTCCCCTATTTTCCACTTCCACTTTTATTTTTGAATAAATCTATTTAAATAGAGAAATCCTTAGCAACATTTGAACTCTCTTACAGATAATGTGATGAAAGTAGTGAATGTAAATGAAGCAGACAAGCCAGGAGGTGCCAGTGATGCGTCATCAGGGGAAGATGGTCGTGACGCTGGAATAGAAGACATGGAGACACAGGAAAGTGGCGAAGACCGTATAATAAGAATGACAGAAGAGGAAACGACACCACAGTTGGCAGACACGGAGAAAGGCGAGGAAACAGCAATGCAGTTAGAAGGTACGGAGAAAGAAGTAGGGGAAGTAACACCAGAACTAGCAGACAATGAAAGAGAAGAGGATAATGCCCCATCTTCCTCAAGTAGAGTGAACCCTATAGATAGTGACAACAATGAAATTAATTCTGAAATACCTCTAATTGACTCCACAGGTGATGGTATACAACCCAAGGCAATCCTAGGGATGAGAGAGGTGTCAGAAAGTATCAATAATAGCGCAGGAGAGAGTTTAGCCAAAGAAAATGGGCAAAGAGAATTGGCAGAGGCAGACAAGGATGATGCAGGCTGTTTATTTACAGAAGATGATATGCTTGATATGTTGGATCAAGAGGAAAGCTAACAGTAAGCATTTACACACCCAAACACCTCACATAACTTTTATTATAAAATATGTTTATTTATCTTCCTGTCTATTGATTTTTTTAACCAACAGGCAAAACAAGATGCCACAATTTGAAATGTAACAAAAAATTTATGTAAAAATGAGAGTAGCTCTTGATAAACTAAATATTACACAAGAGGAATGGGCTTTAAGAGAGTGTTAAATGTGTGTAAAGAACCTCTAAGAACAAAACCTGTTCATGATAAGTGAAATAAAGATGTGGAAACTCCTCCAATATAGTTCTATTTAACCACTGATATATATACTGTATATCACATTTAAATTTTTTTTTTTAAATTTTGCCCCGAGGGGCGAGTTTATTGGGCAGCGCCACTCATCTTGTGAGTGAACATACCGCCATAGCAGAATGTACAACACTCCCCAATATGAAGAAAACCCGCTGGGTTGTTCATCCTGTCACTTGTACCCAGACACAGCTGGGACTTGCTTAAATGTCTCAAGTGAACAGCTCCTCAAACAAGAAGATTAACATTTATCAACCCTTAAAAGCTTACGTTATCTTGCGGGTGCAAAATGGGGAAATCTTTTAAGAACAGTATCAATATTTGACAAATAGTGTTTTCCTAACTCAAACAATGTGGGGTTTATTATTCTACAGTTATTCCTAATGTCTCTCAGGTGTTCACATTCACGTAGATAGTGGTCAAGGCGGTGTCCATCACTCTCACCACAGATTCTGCAACTTCGCTGATCAACTGTTGTTTCCATTCCAAATCTCCATGGATATTTGTATCCAAGACGGATTCTCGCTATTACAGATTCTCTCCCTCGTCGTCCTCCTCTTCGGCCATACAAATTGGGATTGCCAGCTGCAACCATGTTGTACCATCGTACAGATTCACTGATTTGTGCTTCTATCCTCCTTTCCTCAGTTACCTTGTCACGGTGATGTTGCCTGATAATACCTCTAATTTGTAGTTGAGTCTTGGGTATGAAGTATTCAATATGGTCTCCTTCCAACGCCTTCAGCAGCCAGCACATCTGCTCGTTCGTTTCCACATATTCCAACATGGGAGGGGATCCACAGAAACTTGATGACTCTTCCCTGATTGGTAAGTACTCTCACAGCTCTCTTGATTTCAGCGACTATTGCAAGATTTTCTGCCTGATTTTTACTTAGGCTTTGCAGTGCTGCTTTTGAATCGGTGCAAATCACTGCACCATTAGTGTTCCGTTCAAGAAACCTTAACGCCATAACAATGGCAGTTAGCTCTGCTTGTGTTGAAGAGGCATAGTTCTCAATACGTGCTTTTTCTTCATTTCTGCGTTGGAAGGTATTATCCTTGATTACCGTGTATGCTGCACCAGCCCTGCCATTGATAGGATTAGATGACCCGTCAGTGTAGATTTGATCTAGTTCATCTCCGGCTTCTTCATAAATGTTCTCGAGATACTTGTGCCTCATTTCTTGTGGTATCATGTTGGATTTTTTCATTGCCATTTCATTGATGATGATCTTGCATGAATCATCCTCCCAGGGAGGTAACCTCTCTACAGGCAGGAGCTCACGGGCTTGCTCAAGCAGGTGAAGCTCTTCAAGGTAGCAGACTGCTCTGTGATGCCATTTTTTGCTTCTCCTGTTTCCCCCTGAAAGTAGCACAAAGCTCAGTTTTTTCTTGGCAATATCATTGTAATGGGGATCTCTGGCTATCCTAATTGCAAGCTTAGCATTCAGCTCCTGAATTCTGCTTTTAACACTGGGAAGGGACAACTCCTCTCGTAGATTAGACGTTTTGGCAGTTCTTGGGACTCCAAGAATGATTGTCATGGCTTCATTTTGAATGCTTTCAAGCCTTTTCATATCGCTTTGGGAGTAGGTGCACAGTACTGGTGCGGCATAGTCTATGACGGAGCGCACATAGGCTGTGTACATCATTTTGAGCACGGCAATAGAGGCTCCATGTCCATTCCAGGTCATAGCTTTCAGTGCCCTGAGTCGACTTTTGCATGTTACTATGAGTTGATTGAGCTCCTCTTTCTTTCCCTTGTTAGAGCCGACAGTGACGCCAAGGTACCGATAGTGGTCAACTCATTCAAGTGTTACACCATTAATTTGCAGTTTTTCATTTGCTCTCCGCTTGTGATGGGAGTATGCCTTCGTCTTGTTTGTGGAGAGAGTGAAACCGAGCTCAATACATTTCCTTCCGAGGAGTTCAATGGACTGTTCAATTTTTCCCAAGGTGGGAGCTTGTATTAGGACATCATCTGCATATCCCACTTGATGTGTTCCTTCACATGTGCACACATTTGTGTATATCACATGTGCACACATTTTCTGTATTGATTTCCAACCATACTACTAGCGTAAAAGACCAGGTATTAAATAAGAATACATGTTGCATTACACATATACAATGTGTATAAATCCAAATATTTTGTGGATTTGAATACATTGTCATGTTCTATGACTACCCCAGCTGGGCATTATGATAGTAGAGGTCTTGCTACAGAGTTTGTCACCTCTGGAATCGCTGGGAATTGTTCTGTTTTACCTGTATTATTAATCCCAGAATTTGGACCAGGGCATTTTCTTTAGTGTACACCCTCATCATGGGTGACACTGTGTGGTGAGGGAGGGCTCATGTATGCCATCCTTGGATTGATGTGGCTGGCTTTGAGCCACTCCTACTTGTTTAGATGTTGTATAGGCTAGAGTACCTATAGGGTTTACGACTCCGTAAGGGTCATTGAACAACCTGTAGGCATCGCCGATGAGGGACTGCCCTGAGTGGATGGATATGGGTTTCTGGGCTGAGGTGACAGGGGATGAGGAAGGAAGGAAGAAGAGGTGTTTGCAAAATGCAGCAGGTCGACTACTTTGAGAAAGGGAAGTGCTACTTTGGTCAAATTCCAGTGGTTTGGCAGCTTCTATCGATAATTAGTGTATTTATGTTTCCCAGTGCAGGTCCCTTAGGCCCCATGCTCAACATAGGCCTTCCCCTCTGAATTCTTATCCCTCTCCCTTACTAGATCCATTACAGCTATTATCAACGACCTTCCCAGCTGGCCTCGATATTCTTCTGAGACTGTTGCAGATATTGCTTGGAACATTACACCTGTCTTCCACTGCTGTGCTTTCAGTCGAAGCAGGGAAAAGGTAGGTGTACCTTTTCCCCGATTCGACAGGGAAGCCAGGTACACCTGGTCAGAAGCGTAAAATGAATTGTTCCCCACTCTTTCTCCCTGAATGGTAAGAATGCCTCAGTCCTTGACCTAGTCCTCTACCCTATCGTTACTGTACAAGAGTTGGCTACTGATCTCATTCTAGAGGTTGCAGATATCCTCGCTCGGGATCCCACTGTACTTAACCAGCCCTGTTTGCTTATATCCTAGTGGAGATTCTCTCTCCACTACAAATGTAAATACAAAATGTTCTGTCCTATTTTTAAGAAAAGCCATAAGATTACAGGGAACTTGGTTCTTGATGTGGTGTCTTCCCTTCATTTCTATGGTTTCATTATTGCTGAGGCGATGTTGTTCACGAATGAGTTTGGTTCTCGAAGACAAAACCACACACCAGAAGATGAGTCGAGAACAATGTTTTGGTCCATCCTGGACCATTATAAAGTCGATTGTGTCAATCAACTTGTACCCACACAATCGACTTGATAATGGTCCAGGATGGACCGAAACATCGTCGTCTCCTCATCTTCTGGTGTGTGGTTCAGTCTTCATATCATCTGCCATGTTATTGTGACTCATTGTCTGCAGTTTGGTTCATACTTCTCGAGCATTGGCTCTGGTTCTCATCTCTCTCCTGCCTTTCTTACCTGTAAGTTTAATGTTGAATTGTGCCCATTGAACTTCCAGACACCCCTTCAACTCCACTACAATGATCTTAACACCCTTTCTGAGCTAAGTCTGTTTTTTTCCTTTGTAGATCTACGGTGGCAGGCTCGGATAGTATTTGCTCTGAGATTCTCTGCTAATCTTTGTACTGTACCCCTTATAATATATGTTGTGTATATATAACCACATTTGGGAGTTTGCTTCTGTCTCTGAGGCCTGGCTCAAGGCGATTATTTTTCCCATTAAGAATCCAGGACTGCAAAGCACCTAATATTGAGGATTTTGCCTGATTATCCTGATGAGTTGCATGTGTGAGTTTTTCAAACACGTGACTAATGTACGCATGGTGTTTTTATAACTTTAGTGTCCCGTCTTCCCACTAAATTTGGGTTTTGCATGTCAGTGCAACTGATTTCCTGGTGGATTTGTAGATCCATGTTTGTGATGACCTTTCTATGAATACCCATTCTATTTTAACTGGACAAGGTTTATGACACTAACTAGAGATATATGATTGATAATATTTAAGACCAATTGCATTCTCTTGGCCTTAAGAGACAATTTACCCCCCTTTTCCTTAACCTTCAACTCTGCATGTATAATTTAAAACTTGCAGGGACAATGGGACACTTGCACACTGCCCAAGGGCGATAGTAAACAGCCGTCACGTTGAAAACAAATCATGGGCAGGTTGCATTGGCTGGAAGGTCTCAATTTGTAATAAGCTACCATGAGTAATGCCCGCTCCTCCAGCTCACAATGCTGCTATGTGGTGTGCACCACAGTATCGCTTACTGCTGAAGATATTAGTAAGAAACTGAAACAGACCAGGAAAGTAACATAGATGGTTTTTAAATTGATAAAGACAATGCGTTGGGCTTGGATAAGTGATAAAGACTGATACTGATGTACGAATGGCCGTTTCGACGGTGAGGGATTACAACTACCACCATGGTCCAGCTCAATACTACCACTAGGACACAGGCCATCACATGGTTCTCTACCACATGTAGTTTCCAATATGCTGTGAACATGTGGAAGGTGACTTATTTTCCGGATTTAGTGACCTTGATTCTGATACTAGTTGTAGCAGTGTTGTGGCTAGTGGTAGCATGTTTCTTGGCATTATTAGGCTGAGCTTTGCTGCGTCAACAGCTTGACTTGCAAAATGATGCCATATGATGAGGCATAGGGAAATTAAGGCAAGAATGCCTTCATGTTCAACTGTTGGTACTTGCAGAATGCATAGAAGAGCTTCATCTGTTTGTGGACATAGTTTTGTCAGAGGTAGAATACATGGTGGTGGTGCTTCCGCCAGAATCACTTGTGTATTGTGGGACGATGGCATAAACTTTGCTCACAAATTCCTTCATTTGATAAAACAGGTGTAGGCATTACACCCCTTTTCCCATATACTGGT